CACGCCAAAACCGGTGATTGATAGTTGCGGTTCTGGAACAAGAGCTCGCGCTCGAGGAATGCACTGCATGCATCGCGTGCACAGGTCACGCATTCAGTACGCGTGCCCCGCCAAGTCAGTGCGTGTCTTATTTGGCAAAAGACCTATTGGTCGTTACAACTTTAGACTTTGTGACTCGTTAGACTTTCCGGTTTTACAGTAACTGGTTTTATTCATCAAAGGACCGACTAGTCACCTGTGTGGTGGGTACGCGTTTTTGAGCTCCAGTTCTTGAAACCTTTTGGACAGCCCAGCCGGCATTAGGCCGGACTGGAGGTAAGTAGGTAGGTTGTAGCAGTAGTAGTAGTAGTAGTGGCAGCAGTTGCAGTAGTGTAGTTAGGTAGCTAGGTTGTGCACAACGAGAATCTTTGCGCCATGGGTGAGCTCTCAAGCGCGGAGCAGGTGAAGCTACTTTGTAGCATTCCCGGAATACATCACAACGTGGTCAGCCTTGTAGATACTTTGAATGCTTTCGTCAGTGAGGCCAGAAACAACGAAGTACGCCTCCAGCGGAGAGTAGACGAGCTCGCCGGCCTGGTCTTGGATTTAAGGCAAGAAATGAAGTTATTGAAGGAGTCCGCCATTATGGCAGTCAAGCAACCATTTTCAAAAAGCGAGCTGGGCAAGGAGATCAAGAGTGCAGGTAGTAGTAGTACTACGAGTAAGAGTACCCGTACCAGTAGTCCTGGACAGTCAAAGCCACGCGCAAGTGACAGTGCAAAACTGCCAAACCAGCAGGTAAAACACGTGGGAACCCACACTGAACCCCGTACCCGTAGCGCCGCCACACCCTGGCACGCAACCAAGACAGTGCCCTCTGGGGACACAGAAATGGAGTATTCTGAGTCTGATGCAGGGGATACTGGACTCCTGCCTGTCAGTGTCAAGCCCGTTTTCGGTGCTACTGCTGCCAACGCTGGGCCTAACCAGGACACCCTACCGGCCGCTGCAGGTAGTGTTGAACCTGAAACTGGCAACACAGAGCGAGAGGAAGTGGATGCCATAAATGACGACAGCTGGCAGCTGGTCGCTGCAGCCCCACCAAGACGCCGGAGAGCAGTAGTGTTTGTTGGCAACCTTAGCAGCACCTGCACAATGGAGGGTCTCACGGAGTTTGTGCACCGCCGGTCTGTAGCAGCCACAGGGAACATCATAGATGTCCACTCATGCAATGTACACACGGCAGCTAGCGGCAAAGTATCCGCCAGGGTCACCATCGATGCAGCTTGCCTGGCCACTGTGACCTCTGCTAACTTCTGGCCTCGGCCTCTCTACTGCAGGACATGGAAATTCAATCCACCCAAGAAGAGCAGCGGCAACGACAAGGCCCACAGCAGCAGTGATGGTGGCAGTGGCGACGGCAACGACAATGCCCACAGCAGCAGTGACGGTGGCAGTGGCGACGACAGCAGCGGAAACGACTGTGGCAGTGGCGGCAGCAGCAGCAGTGACGGTGGCAGTGGCGACGGCAACGACAATGCCCACAGCAGCAGGGACGATGGTAGTGGCGGCGACAGCAGCGGAAACGACTGTGGCAGGAGCGGCAGCAGCAGCCGCCGCAATAGCAGCAGCGACAGTTCTCCCAAACCCGGCGCTGAGTTAACTCGGACCCCTGGGCAGAAGTCACGACCCCACCAGCGTGGTTCTCCCGCTGAAGACCAAGCTGCGAAGCGCGTGGCTCCAGTCAGCAAACAGTGATGTCTGCTGCCAGCCATATACCCCTGCTAAACCCCAATGCTACTCCCTTCCAGCCTCGAAGGTCCCGGGGCTCCCAAAGAACAACCAACTGCAACAACCTCAAACTGTTCGTCACGAGCCTCAACATCGGGTTTTTGAATATCTGCAGCCTGCGCTACAAGCTGCATGCACTGGACAGCCTTGCCCACCAGCACAACTGGGACGTCGTTGGCGTTGCTGAGACCTGGCTGGATAGTACAATCTCGGATGGCGAAATTTGTATTCCCGGCTACAGTGTTGTTCGCTGTGACCGGCCCGATCGCCAGGGTGGGGGCACATGCCTCTATTACAAGACATCACTCCCAGTTACCTATCGTTCTGATCTGCACAATAGCCACCTGGAGGCTACCTGGATAGCTATTGGCGGAGGGCAACACCAGCACCTCGTTGGCTGCCTCTATCGCCCACCAAATGCAACTGCTGATTTCTGGGGCCACCTGGACACAGTCCTCCACAATGCTGCCACGATCACGCCATCAATGACACTGGTGGGTGACTTTAATATCAATCTGGCTCAATGTATGACCAGTCGTCCTCACCAGCGCTTCTGGGACCTTATCGGATCGTATGAGCTCCGCAACTATGTTCAGTCTGCCACACGAGTCACACCCCGATGTCCGGATGGAACGCTGCTTGATCTAGTGCTCTCCACCGTGGGTACTATAAGTCATTGTGAAGTTGTACCCTGCACGATCAGCGATCACTTCCTTGTGCATGCAAGTCTGTCTCTACCCTCCTCGCAACACCCACTGCAGCGAAAATCAGTGCGCCTCACCCGCAAGATCCGGGCCATTAACCTTGCAACATTTCGTGAAGATATTGCCTCGTGCAGCCTCCACTCCTTTCCCCCTGCTGCAACTGTAGACGAGATGTGGAATGGCTGGCATGCCAAGTTTATGTCGGCTCTCGAAAGTCACGCTCCCCTGCGTGAAGTCAGAATCTCCACCAGGAGGACTCCCCCGCCATGGTCCGACCGTGATCTATTCCAACTGAACATGCGCAAGAATAGACTTCACCGAAAGTGGCTACGAGATAAGACTAACGTGCATCTACATGAGGAGTACAAGCGAGCCCGTGCAGAAGCCTCAAATGCTTACCGGCGAAAACGCAATCAGCATTTCCAACAGCAGTGTCGTGATCACTCCTCCAACCTGCGGAAGATGTGGTCCGTGATCAACTCTGTCACTAGCCGTTCTCGTCAACATCATCAGCCAACGTGCGACATCACAGAAGTCTCGGATGCCTTCCACAGCATTGTACATGATCCGTCCCGTCCGGCGCAGCTCCAGATTCCCATTGGTCCACAGCCGCAAGGCTCAATGCTGACCTTCCAGTCAACCACCCCAGATGAGGTCAAGCACCTCCTGGAACGGATAAATCCCTGCAAAGCCACAGGCAGTGATGGGATTCCTGGGTGTCTGCTACGTGCTTGCGCTGACCTGTTGGCTCCATCGCTTTCAGTGCTCTTCAGCTCATCGCTGAGGCATGGTGAAGTCCCTCTGGCTTTCAAACATGCTGTAATAAGCCCTCTCTTCAAAGCTGGCGATCCATCGGTAGCTGCAAATTATCGTCCTGTGTCGCTCCTGCCGATCGTATCCAAACTACTCGAGAAGATAGTCCAGAAGCAACTTGTTGCACATCTGGAGCGATCATGTGCCATACCACCGACTCAGTTTGCCTTCCGCCGTGAGCACTCCACAGAGGACGCCCTAGTTGTAGCAACAGATGCCATCTTAAAGGCCCGGGACGACAAGTTGACCACAGGCGTCTGCCTAATCGACATGTCAAAAGCCTTTGACAAGGTCAATCACAGCCAACTGGTCCGGGACCTATTCGATCTCGGCCTGGACAATGCCTCCCTTCGCTGGTTCTGCAGCTACTTAAGCGATCGAACCCAGCAAGTGCGCATTGGCCCCACCTACAGTGTTGCTGCTAAGTGCTCATCTGGTGTACCTCAGGGCTCGGTCCTAGGACCGATCCTGTTTAGCATGTACACCCGTGATGTCCCTGCCATAGCCCATCCTGCTCCATCTCTGCAATTTGCCGATGACATTGCAGTGCACTGCCACAGAAAATCAGTGCTAGCCACATCAGCCTGCCTGTCAGGGGCCGTCACCAACGTCGCTGACTGGCTCAAGCATCGACATCTGCTACTAAATGACAAGAAGAGCCAGGTCCTGTCAATTGTACCACAACGCAATGTGGGTCAGCATGTCGCTGTCCGCTGCAACCAGACAGAGCTTCCCCTGAGCCCAACAGCAAGGTACCTCGGCGTGACTCTTGACGCCGCTGTGAAGTGGGACCCCCATGTTGACGCGATGGCGAAGAAAGTTGTGCAGAAGATTGGAGCATTGTGGCGGTCCCGCAGATGTCTGAGCCTCAGTAGTCGCATCCAGTATGTGAGGTCAGTCATCATGCCTGACCTCCTATATGGGTCTAACGCCTTCTCTTCCTCCCTCAAGGTTTCGCAGCTTGATCGCCTTCAGGTCCTGCAGAACCGAGCGGCGAGAGCGGTATACGGTTTGCCGCCTCACACCTCGGCTCAGCCTCTGCTCGAACGGATGTCCCTGTACAGAGTTCGGGAGTGCTACGCCCAGAAGCGGCTCGTCCTGGTGTGGCGCTGTGTCAATGGGAAAGCCAGCAGTGTCCTCCAGGACCTATTCTCACCATCAGCTGGCAGCACCACCCGGCACCAGGTTTCCAGGGGCCTCACTGTCCCCTCGGCACAGTCAGAAGCCGGCAGATCTCGCCTGGCCTTTCAGGCAGCCTTGGCCTGGAACGCTCTCCCAAGGAGTGTAAGGGAGATCAAGGCTGCCCAGCAATTTAAGCTTGCCTCCATCCCCTACACCTTGCAATGAATGCTCTGTCTGACTTTTCCCGTCCACACACCACGTCATTTACTCTTCTCTGCGTGCTTGTGCGCTTATGAACTCTTTGTGTTCCCTCTGTTGACGCTTCAAAATCGCTCTATTGACACTGCAAAATCGCTCTGTTGACGCTACAAAATTGCTTATCATCTCCCTCCCTCCCTCCCCCCCCCTCTCTCTCTCTCTCTCTCTCTCTCTCTCTCTCTCCCCGTAGCTCTCTCCCTTTTGAAATTCGCTTCCATAGAATTGGGCACCATTGCCCGTTTGGCCTTGCGAAGCAAAATAAAAATCAACAACAACAAGGAACATTCTCTATTTGGAAACTAGTCAGGACAGAGGAAAGGTTCTTGCACTTACAGCACCAACTGGCATTCCAAGAGCTGTCCTCAAGTCGTCGGAGATATCACCAGGCTTAAGATCCTTCATCTTGGTCTCGAATTCCTTGCCCTGGTGGAATTTCAGAATTAGGAATTTAGGAGGACAAAAAACATTTGAGCCACACGTAGATAGAGGACCTACAATTTCTAGAATACACTTTTAGTGAAAGGACTTCCAATCCTTCAAGTTAATTCATGAAGCCATTGTCCTAGGCATCAACACATTCATCCCATTTCAAAGTGATACGTGAAACTAGTGGAACTGGATGAGAACAAGGCTCAAGATGTTGTTCCACGACTTGGGAGAGACAAAACTGAGGAGAATGCACCGGCCCAACAAAGGCAAAAAATGAGAAAGAGCAAGACCCAGATCGAGAGAGAGAGAGAGAGAGAGAGAGAGAGAGAGAGAGAGAGAGAGAGAGAGAGAGAGAGAGAGAGGAGAGACAGAGAGAGAGAGAGAGAGAGAGAGAGAGAGAGAGAGAGAGAGAGAGAGAGAGAGAGAGAGAGAGAGAGAGAGATAGAGATCATAATAGCCTACCTCATAGTACAGGTCCCCGTGCAAAGTGAGTCTCGGCTTTTTCTGCCACCTGAGGAAAGAGAAGCAAAGAATATAGAGCGTTCAGCTGCATATGCGTCAGGCCGTATCCTATAGTCAAAATCAAAATCACCATGTCAAAAGCAAAGAAAGCAACATAAGTTCCTAGTGCGAGCATACCTGAAGAAGGCATCGTGCAGCTTCTGGTAATCAATGTCAATCTTTCCCAGCTTTGGTCGAACTCGCTGTCTTGTTTTCGCCTTCAAACTTTTTTGATCATCCTGAAGCAGACACCAACACAAGCCGGACATGACCAATGTGAAGACCCGGTATATGCACGCAGCAAGAATACGGCACACGTCAAATCAGTTTAGCCGGTCGCCAAAAGCAATGCATCCTTTCAACGTTACTTCTAGCAATCTACTTCTAAAGATACACGTACGTAGACTCCACTGTAGCCATCCACCACAGTAAAACCTGTCAAGGCGACAACTCGGCAAAAAGTGACCACCTGTCCCAGAAACCACTGCAACCAAGACCAAGGTTGCTTTTCCAGTCAAATGGCCCTGGATACAGAGACAACCTGGGAACAAAGAGCACACTGCGAAGGTTCCTTGAGCGGTCGTCTTAGACAGGTTTCACCGCATATCTATACACACTCATAACACTATCAGTTTTTATTTATTTAGTCTACACCGATCAATCAAGAAAGAAAGAAAATATCCAAATTTCGGGCAAGGACCATCTTCCTGAAATTGGGTCTTGCCCGAAAATTCGGATATTTCATTTATTCGATCGGTTTGTGTACTAGTAGTCTAGAGACGGTTAACTGAGAGTGCTGTGTGGATGTATGGTTCTAGCAATCTAGTATGGATATTGCATAGTCAGGCATTCATACTGACATAGCACATGTGTCGTAGCCAGCTGCGGATCCAGCGATCTTTCTGTGGGGTTCCAGCATAGTCAAAACTGAATAGCTGACACCGTAAAGTACCGTGGATCGTCGCTTCACAGGCAGAAAATCAACAGGGGGCGGCAATTAGAGAGGGGGCGGATCAACGGTACGTTACGGTACATGTACATGGACATGCATATGGTTGCCAGTAGTACATTTACGAAACTTAGGCCGTTCCGCAGAACCCCTGGATCCCCTCCTAGATCCACCCCTGGTCGTAGCCGTACTATCGGCACATTGGTTTTAAATTTTATGTCTCCATGTGGCTAGATTGCATTATTTAATGGCCTTTTATTGCCTGTATTTATTTTCATGGGTTGAGCATGAGGGGTTGCCCTGTATTTCTTTGCCTTCCATACACAGAAATGTGTGACAGAATATCTTCCTTTTCTGGCCTCAACTAAACACACCTTATTCATTTTGAATATGTTTGGCTCTTACGCATACTTGCACCGTAGATAGACGTTAAAGTTGTAAGATGACAAAGAAGTTGTACACATTTGTTGACCTTTATGATATCATGATAAGGAAAGCTGTAATGTGGCATAATAGTGATGCGCATGAGTTGACCTTTAGGGCTTTTTCAAGTTAGGCCGTATTCACGCTACTTGAAAAAGTGCGTCATATGTTATATGACCCCTTTTAGCCCCGTACGCACTCCCGTATGCACACACTCCCGTACACACATCCATACACATGCACTCACTCTCACACGTACACATGCACTCACTGCTGACCCCTGTCTTCCCGGTTACACCCTTGCTGACCTTCTATGGTGGTTTAGCGTGTGCGCTAAGCCCTGTTAACGAACATGGAACATCTACCACTCACACTTAGTCTGATGATCATGCATCCTCTGATTATGATGTCCTTGCTATACATGCGCCAAGAGTACATAGACCAGAGTGTGCAACTGTGCATATCAGATCTGAAACAGCGCAGTTCGTGCACTACGTCACCCTGATGAGGTCAGCCAAGCCGCGACTTGCGTACAGCTCAAATTTTCATGTTTCATAGCTCGGAAATCAGCCAAGTTTGCTTGATTTTAGACGTCCTGTTTCAGGATTTCGGTGTTTTGTGTGACTGTGTACGCTGCATACATCCACCGACAAGTAAAGTCACCAGGCTATCCGTATCAAAAAACCGAAATCAGGACAAACTCAGTGACCTGCACCACCGCGACAGGTTACGCAACTTTTCACCGTACCTGTGGCTTACCATGCCGTCAGAAATGACGTAGTGCACGAATTACGCTCCCACAGGAACCATCCCGAGTTGCACACTCTGGTTTATGTACTCTTGATGTGCATGTGCATCGTGCGCGTCACTCTCCCACACGTGCTTTCCAAATCTTGCTTTGCAGAAAACTCCTTTGTCATTTCTGTTTTCCGACGACTTGACTGTTCACTGGTTTGTCCGTCAGTTGTCAATTTTCTACATTTTCCCTGCCTCGACTGACATGCCGAGGACAAGGAGCACCTCACGGGGTGCAAGCGCTGATGGAACTGATGCTGATGGTCCCCCAGCTCTCTACCCGTATCCACCACGCCGCGGGCTGTGAATACTCCGGAACATCGGAGAGCGAGGTCACGTGTGAGCCATGCCCATGGGCACAGCTCCGCCAACGCGGACCAGGTGACTTCTCCTGCGCCGCCACAACCAGCTCCTCTCACCTTGAACGACCTGACTAGCGATATCCAGGCCCTCCTGGAGCGCGTGGAGCGCTTGGAATCCGTCGTAACAGCACATCAGGGTGTCTCGCTGACAGCGTGCACCCCTTTTCCCGCTCACCCTATTCTCACTAACTGCATGCACTCCTTTTCCTGCTCACCCTTTTCTCACTTACTGCATGCACCCCTTTTCCCCTCGATAGTAAGAATAGTTAGACCACCAAGGCTGCGCTTGCTCAGTCTGGCCTCTTCTCTGCTAGCCGTGCCTTGCTCTCCCCGCTCTCTAGTCTTCTCTTCTAGTCTTCTACTAGTCGTACCCTCTCTCTTCTCTCTGCTTTCCTCTCCTTCAGGGTAAAAGTTACTTGCAAGGCTTCCGCAACTCCGGTACCCCTGTACAAGGCAACATTTCTTTCAAGCTGAAGTCAACAGCAGGAACTGTATGTTTCTTCCAGAGTATTTTCCAATATGCCGAAGGTTCTCTTCACCGACGATCTTTGAGTGTCCCCTCATTGAGCTCTGGGGAGAATACCAGCGAACGAAAAGTGGTACCATGATGAAGTGATCTGTCGCAGAGCGTCAGATCGCAACCAAACTCGATGAGTATGTCCAGCACCTCGGCATCAAGGATGCCGTGTTCACGGCGGCGAGTGTGCACAGCAAGGTGGACAATTTGAAAACGAAGGCCGGAGATCACTACAAGAGGTATAAGAAAACGGAGATCGGTTCTCCTTTTGCTGATATGCAGAGCAATATACTTAGAACTTGCCGAAACCGCCGAGACCGAAACTTGCTCGACGTTTTCTCTCTCTTTTTCTCCTTCAAAGAAAGCTGTTGATAGTCCTTCTGGTAGTAAGTATTCCTTGGTGAATCGGTCATCATGTCAACCAGTAAGATGTGAGTCTCGAGGGTGAGAACATGTGTGTGTGTGTGTGTGTGTGTGTGTGTGTGTGTGCGTCGGAACATTCCAATGTAACCAATGTTGCGGCCACCACCGCCCGGCATGTCTAATGTAACAGTCTTAGTACCGCGGCTCCGGGGCCTAACGCCGGGCCGACCGGATACATGTACGACACATGAAACAAGCTTCATGGAATAAACACTTACATGGAGAGGACGTTTCTAATGTAAGAATAGCATTATACAGTGAAGTTGATTGTTCCTACGTGAAACACACACTTCCGGCCGAAGTTCACACTTGACTGCGGCACTTGGCTTACTCAGGTAGGAACAGCCAACTTCATCACTAACACCGCCGAAATCGCTACTTCTAAGTAAGCATCTATATACAAATTATACTCAAGTCTGTGGCCAGCAACTGTTTCGCTCTGTTGGAGCTCATCAGCACAGCTCAGAGGACCGAAGCGCAGCTCTTCGCAATGAAATACGTTTCCGTGAAGCAAAGCATTTTTATAAAGAGCTGCAAACCCCGCCAAGAGTGCTCGAAATGCTCCAAGAGCAGTGAGCGTTGCACAAGGCGAGCGGCAAGGGTTCGCGCTAAGGTAAGAGTGCTCAACCTAACGACATTGCTGACGCTAGGGAGCATAATACTCAAAATACATAAATTGTATAAATTTGAAAAAACCCTTGTAAGACAACCGGTGCAAAGCAGTGCTGGTAAACACTGGAAACCCATGCAAATCCTACCTTTTCCTGAACGGCAGCTCTCATTTCCATGATACCAGTGTTCTGTACAGGAGCAGCAACACAAAAATACACAAAAAACACACACGCATGCATGTACGCATGCAAGCACCCATGCTCAAACAGACAGACAGACAGACACATGCAAACTGTAATGAACGAAATGAACTGACACTGTCAGGACAGCTAGCCAGCAACGGTGAGCAGCAGAAACATTCGGAAGTGAAAAGGAAAAGCGAGCTGCTTTCTAGAGCCCAGTTCACATTCGACGGAAATGAGACGGTACGAGAAGTAAGAACCTGTCGGGATGGCTGAGAAGAGCTGTAAACACCATGGACAGCACACAGTGCAGTACATGCTGTGATGGTCAACATTGATGGGCAAGGGGCGGTAGGTAAGGTTCGGGGAAGGGCTGAATCAGAACGGCACTTTCATCTTTTCCGGGGCTTCTCTTACATTGCCTCTTCTCAACTGACCAGGACTCATACTCAAACTACTGGATTAGGCCAAAACAAATAATGACCTTGTTTCCGGTCGCCCGACCGGGCCACTTTTTCCCGAATTCTGAAACTTTTTTTGGTCCCAAATGCATACAAACGGTGGCAATGCCATGTGTGCAAGTGCACTCAACGAGTCATAACTCAGTCAAATCTCAACCGAATTCCACAATCGAAACACCTGCAAGGTAGCAGAGATTCTCAGCTGTCGGTTCGAAAACCTCCGGGGTCGATACGAGCTAGAATAACGGAGCTGGAAGGACTCGAACTGTTTGCTTGATTTCTCAGGATGTACGAAAACAGGAATACACCACATGCTGTACAAGAACAGTGAGTCAGTCAACTTTGACATTGATCCTTGCCATGATATAATGTACAATGTACATGTGTAGGTGCTCTTGTCTATCAATACCACAACGATTGAGGAACCAAAAAAAGTATCCAAAAAAAGTTTCATTCCGGCCGTCCGAGTCTCCTTTTTGAGGGGTTGCCGACCGGAAACAAGCCAATTTTTTGTTTTGGCCTTATCATAAAGATCAACAAATTAGCTCAGGACTCTGTACCGTGCTAATGATAGGCACAGGAGAGGACATAATCCAATCATGTAACACACTCCTGGGCTAGCCATAGACAAAGCAGATACACTGTAATAGGGTATCTTGTCTAGCTGTCCAAAGTCCAGCGCAGGCGTGCGAGCCATTCCCAATATCATCACGGGAAGCATAGGGCTCGAAACGCGCAATTTGGAAAACTTGCAGTTGGGTGCATTGCTGCAGGCCACCGTCACCTGTCCACACTTGAAATACAGCTATCTTGTACAACTATGCCCTGATGCATACTGTAGGAAAACTTGAAAAGTGATTCTGCCGTCACTTCCCGTACTGGTATGGTGGTGGGGTTGCGCTTCCGTTCGCTCTACGCTAAGTTATGAGCATTGACTCTCGTCGCCGCTCAAGTGGAGTGCCGTCGAAAGTTAACCATGTTTATGTCGGGAGGAATGTTGCCGGGTGACCAACTCAGCCTTGCAACAGTGCCCAACGGAGCCAGTACAGCAGAGGCCGTACAGCTGAGCCAGCAGCAGTACCATTGTCAGGCATTGAGAAAGAGAGTGCATAGGCGTACATGACAAGAGGATACTGCAAGTAACAAGCTATCATGTAGAGCCAAGCACAAACATGCAATGCATGTGGTGCAACATACCTTAATGAAATCCGGCAGGTCGAACGGAGGTTTCTCAATACCACGTTTGCCCTGGAGATACTTTCTCTTGAAGCACCAATGCCTCGGCACAGGAACAGTGTTTCGATAACCTTTGAGGTGAACAAGCAGCTGAGGTTCCCTTGAAGTGACATCATGCATTTCCACCACATCGGGCCGTTCTACAAGCTGTGCATGCACACACACGCAAAACACATGTTAAATGGTGGTTTAGCGTGTGCGCTAAGCCCTGTTAACGAACGTGGAACATCTACCACTCATACTTAGTCTGATGATCATGCATCTGATTATGATGTCATTGCTATACATGCGCATGCGCAGCGTGCGCCACTCTCCCACGCGTGCTTTCCAAATCTTGCTTTAGAGAGAGAGAAAGAGAAAAGAGAGACTCCTTTGTCACTTTTACTTTCCGACGACTTGACTGTTCACTGGTTTGTCCGTCAGTTGTCAATTTCCCCTTCCCTCCCAACCCCATTCGACTGGGGATCACTATCTCTCCGTCACTGTCACCATAATTTCCTCAATAACAGTGTCAGTACAACTCTTGTCAATATACTTATATCGGGTGAGGGCAGTCTATCTCCGCAGCTGGCTCATTTCAATCACTACCGGTCGCAGCTCCTGCCCACGGCAGGCCGACCGTCTCTCGTTCACACTCTGTGTGCTCCAGGTCACAGCTCCTGCGCAGAGCAGGCCGACCTGTCTGTCTCTCTCTCACACACTATGTGTGCACCGGGTCACAGCTCCTGCGCAGAGCAGGCCGACCTGTCTTTCTCATGCACGCCAGCTGCTCCGCCCAATATCCCTGATATGCCAACCAGAAAACAATGTGTTCTGAGCCGGGTGCATGCCTGTATGTGGAGAGTGCGTTAACAAATGCATAACAATTGTGAAAAGAAGACGGACAAAATGTTACGAGTTATGAGTTACATTTTGCATAACACTGTGCATACACGAGCATGCGAACCCCAAAACAAGGACGCTTGATTACAAGAGAAAATACAGGTACAACGGAAAGAGCGCGGCCAGTAAGGGTAACTCCAAGAGGCGAGAAGGTATCAGGCTATCAGCAGTGTGGCAGATCACCTGTCATCCAGCCTCCACTGCCACATACTATATCCAAGACAGGCAAGAGAGACACCTAACACGAGGAGTGTGCACTGTACCTGCTTGAGCTGGGCTACTGAGAGTCGAGACTGCTTGCGCAACTGTTTCTTGGATAGGCGAGGCTTACCATCATCATCTTCATCACGGGGCTGGAAAGCAGAAGAGAAGAACAGGATTGGGAACCAACATCACCAATATACACATTAGCCAATGTCCGAATCACCAGTCCAAGGCAATACACATACACATTAGCCTATTTCCCAATCACCAGTCCAAGGCAATACCGTACATTGAGAGCAGCCTGAGAGAAACTGCTTTGGAGTGAGTCAGAATATAAAGATGAAGACGCTAACAAAAATAGAAAGGTGACTGAAGAATAGAATGACATCGTCCATATACAATAGACTCAGATTGCGTAAATGTCGGACATACCTCATCCTCATCTTCCTCTTCCATTTCCTCTGGCGGTGGAATGGCAGCACCAGATTTAGAGCTTGCTTTCTACACACAAAACACAACCAAGAGTGCGCATACATCCAGAACACGTTTCTCACACGCGCCATATCAAGCCTTTGCGTGACCATCTTAGCTTATCCCAATGATGCCTCATGGAAGAAAAATCGGACCTCCGAGTTTCGTGTTTAAAAAAACATTCAGACGATAATACTGACTTTGTCGAGGTGCAAGTCAACAGCTCGTGTTATAGCCGAAAAGTGCATCAAAAGGATGCCATGATGGCACAAAAGAGAGAGAGAGAGAGAGAGAGAGAGAGAGAGAGAGAGAGTGTGAGTGAGAGTGAGAGAGAGAGGGAGAAAAAGAGAGAGAGAGAGAGAAAGAGAGTGTGTGTGTGTGAGAGAGAGAGAGAGAGAGAGAGAGAGAGAGAGAGAGAGAGAGTGAGAGAGAGTGAGAGAGAGTGAGAAAGAAAGAGAGAGAGAGAGAGAGAGAGAGAGAGACAGAGAGAGAGAGAGAGAGAGAGAGAGAGAGAGAGAGAGAGAGAGTGAGAGAGAGAGAGAGAGAGAGAGAGAGAGAGAGAGTGAGAGAGACAGAGAGAGTGAGAGAGAGAGAAAGAGAGAGAGAGAGAGAGAAGGCAGATGAGTTATGAAAATGATGACTGACTACTCACCGGCTCCTCTTCTGCTGCCTCCTCTGCCTTTACTTCTTCAACCAGCTGAATAGGTACATGCACACCAATTTCCCCATACACATGCACATGCACACGCGCACACGTGAACACATACGCACACGCACACACCGGCACACACACAATTGCGCGCACACACACACACACAATTGCGCGCGTGCACACACACACACACACACACACAAATTCACAGTATCCATCCGTGTCACAATCAATGTTTGTACATAGGAATAGAGGTACTAGAAGGGCAATAGAATAGAAGTACATCAATCCAGATAATACCACGACAAAGCAATACTCAAATACATGTACATGCACTTGGAGTAGCAGCTAAAGCAAGGAGCCAGCAAGGCACATGCATACTACAGTGAGTAGGCTGACAATGAGCAGGCTGACAATGAGTAGGCTGACAATGAGACAGGTTGAGAACATACCTTGAAAGCATCAAATATTCTGGAGAACTCTTGGTAGTTCCTGTCACCCGGTGTCAGCTCTGGCATTTCAGCAACATACCTGGGTGCAGGGCATACACGGAAGGAAGAGTGGCAAGTGTTATTGATTTGCTTGGCGTGCAGTCATTTTCATTGCTACAGTCCATTCATAAAAAGATGGGTCCTGGCTCTGGCGAGCTCCCGTATTTGGCGATTTTTCGTGATTTCATCGTACACAGTGCAGTGCTGCGAACTTTGAAATTTGAAAAAGGGTCCAAAAAGGGTGCCTGAACTGGGGTTCGAACCGCAGAATGCACTGTTGCAGGCGGGGTCAAACGGCCTGGATTTTGATGGGTTTTCCCAATTCAGTGCTTTTGGGGCAAAACCTGGCCGAAATCCTATTCTTGCTATGGCTTGCTTTTTGGACAAAAAAACTTCAGAAACATAATTGGAAGAGGATTCCATATGGGATTGCAGAAAAAAATTCTAAAAAAACTCAACGTTTGACCCATTTATGGCCAAAAGCTAGAAGTTCATTTTTTTCTGAATGGACTGTAGTACTACTGACTTCACAGTTCACACCTCAAGCAGGTAGGAGCTATACAATTAGAAAAGACGGATAAACATCTACACACTCTTTGCATGCAGAAGCAAACATGGCTGGCCCAGTGTAACTTTTCATTTAAAAATGAACTCCCACTGCAAATTGCTTGATGGCAGCAAAATTGAACGTATCAAACACAGCCGCTTTGCAAAAGCCAGGAAGAGTTTCAAAGAACAACACAATGAGACCTATGGTCTTAAAAAGAACTTACTCGATTTCAACATCCTCGTCGATGCTGTTTGTATCTACTGATTTAGAGTTCTGAACAGAGAAAGATCACATGAAGCGGACACAAGAGACAGTAGCAAGAGTCAGCAAAGAGAAGGTGAAAACTGAAAAGCGTATAACTGGCTAACGCTGCATTGATACTCGTCGCTGGCATCACACAAAAGTCTACACAGATCAGGAGGCGAGGTAAACGCATGGCATCATACCATTGCCTCCAGAGCACCTTGAAATGAAAAGCAAGGTTGTACAATGGGGGCTAGAAATCGCGACTGGTCCCAAGTGCAGCATGCCCATTTGAAGGGGGGGGGGGGTCATTAGCTCGTCTATGTATAGTGCCAAGCGGCACGCGGGTCGGATTTCTCTGGCTGTGACTGCGGCACAGCGCGGGCGTTGGGTTTCTCTGACCATGATTGCAGCACAGTGCGGGGGTTGGGTTTCTTTGGCTGTAGCGGTAGTTATCAGTCGCCAGCCTCTCCTCCTGCACCACTACGGTCTACAGTTGTAAGCAGGATGAAGGTAAGTGCATTGAGCATTGTACGGTTCATGTTTCCATCCTCCAGCTGCGATCGCAATACACTTATCAAAGCTACCCAAACTCCTATGTACCATACCTGCTGGTTAGCAAAGTTAGGGTGCTTTCTCCGGCGCTTCTTTTTCTTCTTCTTTTTCTCATCCTGGGAATCTTGCGGAGGAGAGCCCTGCATGAACCACCCACATGAGTGGACAGGAACAAAGTTGGCCAGACTAAAAGGAACGGCATCAGAATTTTAACAATGATGATACCAATGGCAACGCCAGCAGCAGCACCAAAAGTATAGTAGAACAAAGGTGTAAAGGCGAGTTGTCTAACGTTGGTGCCGTAGATGCCTTTCTACATGGACTGACAACATGAAAACTGAACACGCGGTGTCCAAACTTGCAACCAGTTGTTTTGCAATCAACTGACAGACTAATACAAAAATTCTAAAAAGAACTGTCGAAGCATGCTATAATGTATACCGGTAATGTGCTCTGTACTTTGAGTAGATCACTTGCTCAGAAACTGTCCACTCCGTGAATGTTGTTGCTACTCTGAGTTCACAGTAAACCAACTGGTAAACTAGCCAAGCAAGAAAAGGCAGTGCAATTCAGGATTCTGTGAGCAGTCAGTAAATTGTTTGACATCGAGCTATATCACTTGTAGATGCACAGGCAATTACTTTGGGAGTATAGGAGGCCGGATTGTCCCATTACCATACACAGAAGCCAACATACTCACATTTACAGGTCTCAAAGTATCCTCTGCTACCTTTGAAGGTTCTTCCTCGACTGTCATCTGAAATACATAATCACCGAAACATGAAAAAGTTTAGAACACAGAGTCCCTTGGACTCCAAGATGTGGCATTTGGAACAATCATCTACATTCCGCCGTAAAGTTACCTGCGGACTGACACAGGCAGAAATGGTGCACTCTGTGAATATTGCTGCTACTCTGATCGAGTTCATAGTAAACCAAATGATAAACTAGGTTAGTAAGTAAAGGCAGTGTAATTCAGGATTTTGTTAGCTGCAAATATGTTGCTTGACATTGGGCCATAACACTCGTACATACACGGGCAATTACTGTAAAAGCCATATATATATAATGAAGTGCTAACTCTAACGAGTTAACGAGGAGAAATCTGTCGTTAAAATGGAAATCGTTATACAGAAATCGATACATATACCGTAAAGTCCGGTGCAAACGCCCACCCCATTTTTGCAAGATCTGCTGGCCTGTACACACTGACCCCATGCACTGTCACCTCTACTGTACGAAAGTGTGTCTCATACCGTAGCGGGAAGAGCGCTTTGCTAGGGTAAACTATGTCCACTTTCCTGGTTTCAAAATCTCTTTGGGCACTAGCTACGAGCTAGCTCGTAGTGATTTTATGATGATGGTTGCTGTATTTCGCAAATCCAAATGGGAGTTTCTTCCGAATAACAAGGTAGCAAAGAACAGAGTACTACAGGAACCAAATACACTTCTGATCATTTCCAAATCACGCAACGCTCAAAGGCAAGGGTTTTTCTCGAGCACTTCAGAGTTTTCAACAAGTTAGCAGCGACTTTGTAGGTGTAGCTTGTACTAGCTTCTGTGACATACCCCCCCCCCCCCCCCCCCCCCCCTGTTCGACTTGCAACTGCAATACTGCGAGCGGTCAAGTCGTTGAATGACGAACCGTCAGAACAATCACTGTTCCGTCCTGCAAATGCCACATTGTGGCACTGCAGAAATTTCATGAAAAACAGATGGATTCTACGGCATTACTACGTGGAGAGCGACCTACCAGTCCCACAAAGACGACTCATTTATCGAATGAAAGGAAATCTTGACAGAAGTTTTTCTTTGCAGCAAGATGATGACAATCGCTTTTGCAGAGCCTCCTGGTAAGACATAGGCAGTTTGTAGGCATTACAGCCGTTTTCGTACGCATTCGACCTTCATGCCAGTTTTTCTACAACTATATTGACCTGAAAAAGACGAAAATAGTATGGACTCGCTGGGGTGCGCGTTTGCAGCGAAGTGGGCGTTTGCAGCGGACTTTACGGTACTGTCCTATTGAGCGTTGAGAATGAGTGAGAATCGTTACCTTTGGTACACGTAAACTAGTCAATTTTGGGAAATCGTCATATGCGCCTCGTTAGAATAATGGCTTTTACAGTACTTTAGGAGCATGCACGTGTTGCGAGGTCGGATTACCCCATTACCACACACAGAAACCATCACACTTACAGGTTTCACAGTATCCTCTGCTACCTTTGAAGGTTCTTCCTCAACTGGTATCTGAAACATAAAAATCATCGAAACATGAATAGTTTAGAAAATTGACTCTCTTGGACTCCAAGATGTGGCAGTTGTAACAATCATCTACAGCAGGGCATCAATTATCCAAACCCTCCGGGCCAGATACTGTTCAGAAGGGATTTGGATAAGGGAATGTTCGCATAATGAAAGAGTCATAGATATATGTGCAGTATAGAGCTCATATGTGCATGGGATACATCAAATCGTGCTATATTTAGTGCTTTCCCATTAAACTCCCAAACCCAACGCACAGGCTCTTATGGACACTGATTGTTACTCACCCATCAGCCAATGCACTATTCAATTATGGTATGGAATCGGATGTATCTGTACACATCGGATCACGAAGCCATCTACTTGTACATATCCTACACACCTGCGGCTTTCTTTACTACAATGTATCATTGATCTTTGCCCCCCTCCCCCGCCATGCTGTGTTACTTCTCAACCAGCCTTTTAAGACTGTTTGATGCAGCATTATGAACGCAAAAAGAGGCAAAAGGTGACCTGCAGAAACCACCATACTCACACTTACAGGTCTCAAAGTATCCTCTGCTGCCTTTGAAGGTTCTTCCTCGACTGCCATCTGAAATACATAATCACCGAAACATGAAAACGTTTAGAACACAGAGTCCCTTGGACTCCCAAGATGTGGCATTTGGAACAATCATCTACATTCCGCCGTAAAGCCATCTGCGAACCGGCAGAGCCAGAAGTGGTGCACTCTGTGAACACCGTAATGTCGCGTATAAAAGCCGTGCTTATTCCTGTAGAAGCCGATATCAGTGCTAGGCTTCTATTCAAAGCACGTATCTCTATGCATGTCAGTACTAAAACCAGGCGTATGCGCTGACAGTGTATCTTCAAAATCAGGCTTGTATTCAAAACAGGCGTCTATACGAGACAGGCCTTTATACAAGACACTACAGTATTACTCCTACTCTGAGTTCATAGTAAACCGAGTGGCAAACTAGGCAAGTAAAGGCAGTGTAATGCAGGATTCCGTGAGCCATAAATACAAATGTATGTTAATAGTTACTTAACACACCAATTCATATGCACACATCTACACTGTAACACAACATTGGAAGCATTGAGTTGTGGGGATAGGAGTGGTTTGTCAATCGCTGTTTGCCAGGTTTGCAGTGAGTCCTATTTTACTGGCAGCAGGGTGAGTGACCGACACGGGTAATTGCTTTAGGAGCATACATGTGCTGCGACAGAAACCACAATACTCACACTTACAGGTTTCACAGTATCCTCTGCTACCTTTGAAGGTTCTTCCTCAACTGGCATCTGGAATATTTAATCAGCAAAATATGAACACAGAGTTTCTTGGACTCACAGGGGCGTCGGAAGGCATTTTAGTGTGGTACGGTCAGCCATCTGAAAGCACAATTTACTCGTGGGGGAGGGATGGCTGAGCCGAAAATTTTGGAAATTTAGAGCCCAAATCAGTGCATTTTATTGATTTACGGGGTACTTTGGGCAAATAGTGGTACGGTCAATACCGTAGTGACTGTACCGTGTGCGACGCCCCAGACTCAAGGTGTGGCATTTGGAACAACCATCTACATTCCAATGTAAACCCATCTGGGAAGCGACACAACCTTGGGGAGCGGATCAATGGTGCGTTATGGTAATGGCCAAGATGCAGTGGTAGCAACTGAAATCTGACCACTGGACTTTTACGTAACAATGCCGAGGAGCTAAATCTAATCATAACGAGCAGTGTGCATGTCCCGACGCGGCAGTACAGCAGTTTTAGGTATATCATTAACCCGACTGCTGCATGGACGATAAGTGCTGCGAAAAGTGATCATGCACCCTGGCCTGAGTAGCTCACTTGGCTAATCGAAAGTCTGCCGACCTGGGCCACGTTATGTTGCTAGTACATGCACAACCCCAGTCACAGAGCACAAGTTGGTTGAGTTTGGCCGTCAGGAGGCCAGCGCAAGATATCCGGGGCGCGGGTCTGATTCCAGTGAGGGGCAATGTGGTACCCCGCTGCACAAGGGTAGCGTGATACCCTACGCCAACGTGCGCGCTGCATGAGTAGCGTGATACTCGCTGAGCGCTTTTGCTGTTGCATAGCAACGCGTTTCTGTCTTTCCTGGGCCCTTCACTGCATGTTGGGTGGCCCTGCGCATGACTGCACGTTGTCATAGCAACCTTGGAAATCTCAAGCCGGTTACCAACAAGCTAGGAATCAGACCAAGCCGTCGAATACCCCCGCCGGCCACCGGCGCTTCATTGCAATGGAATGAATATTTGTCAAGGATAGTGAGTTAGGACAGATCAAAATACATGATTGTACATGTAGCTTGGAGTACCATCATGCTGAGTGGCACTCATTGTGAGACATAGGATAGTGTAGAGCGATAATAAATTCCAGGAGGTGTGGGTGGGAGGGAGAAATTGCAAAACAGTTGGATGCAAGCAGCAGCACAGCTAGCAAGAGAAAGAAGCCTTGGATGGGTTTGTTCCTGTTTTTGATGGCTGTGGCCATCCGTTGGCCCAACGGTCTCGTGTGAGTACGGCGTTTGTTTGTGCTGCCAGCTCGGGCCCGGTGCGCGAGTGAAACCGAACTTTGAAAAAGGCTTTCGCTCTTTAGTGCTATTGACTGGCTTTTCATACGATGCCTATTGATGTCCAGAGACATGCTGTCTAGCCTTCCCCTGGTACGCATTCACGGGGCTTTGTTGAAGTTTGTACCGTGAACTGCCAAAGGGAATTGTTTGAATGGTGCTGGGGCGAGTGCGACATTACGGCGTCCCTGCAGCCGGCCTAATCGCGTTTGTTGCCACAACCGATTTTATCAATATCATTTAGTTCAACCCATTTCATTCAACATCTACCTCTCCTCTGATGAGTTCCCAACATCATAATGGAACGAAACAAGGCTTGTCGATGTTGTTGGAGCATCAGCAGCACTTCTAGCTGTTGTGGAGTGTGACTGGTGCAGTGTCCGTGCTGGTGTCTGCAAGCGTCGTCTGGTCTCGTCTGGTCAAAAGAAAAATCTACCACAACTATTTGACGGACCTAGTGAAGATGGCATCACCAAATTAGTTTTAGGTATGTAGTATGCACGCATGCACTGTCCATGCCTTGAGGTTGGCATGGTTCGCATGCTATGTTGGTGTAGTGCCACTGTGCCAGCACACCGCTCCTGGGGTCGGATTTCACTAGTCGCCACTGTACTACTAGTTGCACAACACACCTGATTAGTAGTGATTACCACAAAGTACCATTGATTCCCCCCCCCCCCCCCTCTTTAATGCCGTGTTTCATGCAGTATGATGAACAATGCAAACAAAAGGGGCGAAAGGTGAGACTAGCCATACTGGATTGTGCACAATTGAATCTACCAGTACATGTACTTCGAAGTATCACACTTGACTGTGTATCGTGGTACATACTACACTGATGGCACTTCAAAGATAATTATAGAATTGACATGGGACCGATATTAGAAAGAACACACAGAAACCGCCATACTCACACTTGCAGGTTTCACAGTATCCTCTGCTGCCTTTGAAGGTTCTTCCTCAACTGGCATCTGAAATATATAGAATCACCGAAACATGAATAGTTAGCACACAGAGTCTCTTGGACTCCCAAGATGTGGCAGTTGAAATAACCATCTACATTCCACCATAAAGGCATCTGGGAAGCGACACAGCCAGAAACTGTCCACCCCGTGAATATTGCTGCTACTCTGAGTTCATAGTTAAGTAAATCAAATTTAATGGCAAACTAGATACAAGCTAGAGTCCATAATCGCCAGGCCAGAGTGCCCAACTGGGATGGGGTTGCGGGACGGCGTAATCCGTGATGTACGTCATTTTTTGGGTCGGACTTGCGTCATTCCGTCGACGCGGTCCGCCACGGAAATACTTCCCCTACTCATGATGTCACACTATGACGTGCAACACGGATTTCGCCATCCCAGATCTGATCAGTGAAGTTGCACACTCCGGGGGATCATGGAGTCTTGTAACAAGTAAAGGCAGTGTAAATACAAAAATGAAGAGCCGAGATGCAAAACCCGATAAGCGTCAAATCTGAGAAATCTGATTTTCAGCTCAGTGTGATCAAAAGGTTAGGGGCAGCAACAGGCACAATTTCACATTCAAAATCTGACAAAAAAAACATTTCAAAACTGGAACCCAAATAAGGATTTAGATACAAACCGCACATAAAATGAACCCTTTCTTGGCCATCCTAAAAGTGATGAAATGGATTTATCAGGGTTTGCATTCCAGCTCTTCAAATGTACGTCTGCAATGGGCCCTATTACATACATGGCCAATTACTTTAGGAGCATGCACGTGTTGCGAGGCCGGATTACCCCATTACCATACACAGAAACCACAATACTCACACTTACAGGTTTCACAGTATCCTCTGCTACCTTTGAAGGTTCTTCCTCAACTGGCATCTGGAATATTTAATCAGCACGCAAAGAGACGAAGCCAGTTGCAAACCTGATCTGACTGCAAAATCCCCACGACGCAGCTCACCAGATCAAGGTGTGGGTCCTCTGCACTCAGTAGAGTCAAGTCGAGCGAGCTGCAACTCCCGGTGCCGAAAGGTGGGCTCACGCCCCGACATGGCTACTTCCCCTGGTCTAACCCCCAAGGCGAACATTTAATGATAGTAGCCGACTGGCCGAAATAAAATAAAAAAATTAAAATATAAATTAAAAAAACCTGATGAGGCCGTTCGCACCATTACTTCTCAATTCAGTACATGGTGACAATGTGACAAAGCACAACGATGTCAATTTATACAGCATATTGGCGATAACATGGTGATGAAACGTACACAGCCTGAATGATAGTGTGAGTTGCGCCAAAGTCGGCGAGTATAATTAATGAGCAACGCAAAAAAAAAAGGGGCGGACGGTGAGACTAGCCATGCTGGATTACGCACAATCGAATCTGCCAGTGCATGTATCACACTTGACTGTGTAGCGTGGTACATGCAGATGCCACTTCAAAGAATCACAGATATAACATTGACATAGGACCGATATCAGAGAGGACACACAGAAACCACCATACTCACACTTGCAGGTTTCACAGTATCCTCTGGTTTCTTTGAAGGTTCTTCCTCAACTGGCATCTGAAACACGAAAAATCACCAAAACCAGGCAGAATCAGCGGAGGGCGTTCCGGTTGGTTGCAACTCTTGAGTGTTCATGCCGCTAGGCAATCATCAGATAACTGATACTGGGGATCTACCCAGCAGTATGCTTATGAACACATACTGTAAATCAACAATTTTGGCCGGTGAGAAACTTTGGCCGATCTCGAAATGAAGCTTTTGGCCGTCATTTAACTTTGGCCGATTGGGGTTTTCAAAAAAGAAATCAATTGGTATTTGTTGCTCTCACATGCAGCCATGGCTCAATAACGCATCATTTGCCTCTATGACAAATTTTGGCCTGCAATTTACTTTGGCCGGTTGGTACCCAGCGGCGAAATCAGCGAAATTAAATCGCCAGCAAAATTGGTTGATTTACAGTAGGGTCACACTGTGACATGCATAAACAAGGTTAGCGCTAGGTGCAGGTGGGCGCGAAGTCTGGTAGTGCCAGGTATTAGAAGAAAGCTAGAGAGGGCCGAGGTGCTGGGAGAGACAACAGGCGAGTGGAAGTGTCAGGAGGATGGCAGGCAACAGGCGAGTGTGAACATTAGGGGGTCTTTCGGTGACGGGCGGGCGTGAGCAGAGTGGTATAGTCAACAACAGGGAGTTGCAATATTGGTATATTGGGATGCTCAGGCAAAGTGCAGTACAGTACTGGATTAGTTCATTTAAATATAAATTATAATAGGTGTGAAATTTGCGAGAAAAAACTTATTCTCATGCCTGCATTTTGATCGCTTGTTGAGCAGGAGCTTCTTCGGTTTCGTCAGGATGTGGAATTTGTCTGCTATACATAGGTTGGATTTCTTTGACTCGCATCTGTACAACCAGCTCTTCTCCCGGACCTTCCATGTACCGTAAAGTACTGCCAGAGCGCCCCAGCTTGATTATACAGCCATTGAAAGGAGAATCGTATGGCAGAGTGCAACGAAGTTTGTACAGCGTGAGAACCTAAGTGTACTAAGGTCAAACTTAGCAGGTTTTTGTGTGGAGCTCGTGTTCGTTCGAAGGTACGGGTTGATTGCACCACGTGCAATATGTGTACAAGGCTCGTGTTGTATGACCTACAGACAGGTGACTCCACAAAACGACCACGAAAAGACGAGATGGTGGGGCGCTCTCGCGGTACTTTACGGTAATAGTTAACGGCTTTCCTTCGCCCTTCACCTAATGACCGGAACCTGAATAGTTTAGAACACGGAGTCTCTTGAACTCCGAGATGTGGCAGTTGGAAGTTGTCATATACATTCCAATGCAGAGACGTCGGACACGCTACGGTCACTACGGTATTGACCGTACCACTAGCTCTTTGTCCCAACGTACGGGAAATTTTTCAGAGGAGCCACCCCAACCCCACGAGTAAACTGTACTTCAGGTGGCTGACCGTACCACACTAAAATACCTTCCGACCGCCCCTGCAATGAAAACCCACCTGGGAAGCGACACAGCCTTGGGGAGCGGATCAATGGTGCTTGACGGTAATGGGCAAGATACAGTGATGGCAATTGAAACCCCACCCCTGGACGTTCAGGGCTCACAGTAGGCATGCAGGATCGACAAAAGCGTCGTGCGAGGGCGGGTTTGGTGCACGTGAGTCGCGTGACCCCGGGAGAGTACCGATCGTGTACATCCCACGCATCCAAAACAGAACAGAAAAGAGAAAGAACCAGAGTTGTACTTGTAGCCTGTTCTCGTAGTTTTAGAGCCGATGTTCGCGATATTTTGGAGGAGAAGGCGAAACGCATCCTGTGCTAGTCCCAGTAAAAACAACATGCCATGTTCGACCAAAAGCTGATGCTACAATGAGCGATCGTGTTGATTCCACAGGTAAGAAGACAAACAAACGAGTCAGAGCTCGCCAGGCAGGTAACGCCAAGCACATGATGATACCACACGGAGCTGGTGATCGAATGGAGGTGAACGGGACCAGCAAATCCACCGGGCATTTGTCGAGGGCCACTGAAGACCAGGTTTCCCAGGGTGCCAGTTCCTCCATGATGGCGAAATGCGCTGCCACAAGAACTCCAGCGAGAATGAAAGCACAGCAACCAACGCCGCGGGCGAACTGAGGAGAGAACATTGAACAATCTGTGCACAACGATTTTCTCTTCGACGGCACGCGTTGCTGTTCTGCTGCATGCATGCGTTTTTCTTGTTGTTTGATCTTCACACATTTTCGCACAAGCGGTTGCGCGCCGCTGGGACTCGGGGTTACTAAAATCAGTACAGAGCATCTCCCCCTTGGTCGATTTGGACAATCTATGGCTCAAACTTTTCAGGAGACCCTGGCAAAGAAATTTACCGAGACGTTTTTGGATACTCCTTTCGAATGCTGTACTATATCTCACGAAGTTTACGCATATGCTCTGGCATACCCGTGTGAGTAATGAAAATTTGTTTCGGTAAATCTTTTGGAACACCTGTCATCTGTGCCTGGGCCAAGTCCCAGCTTCGTAGAACCTGGCTGAAGTGCTGCTAACTCCTTCAAACACCCCCTACTTCGAGCAAAAATGCGACAAAATGCTGACTGCTGATTGGCCAAGCTGGCATTTTGGAGCACGTGCATCGCCCCCATCTAATCGATGCTTTTCTACGCAACTGTGAGCCCTGACGTTAACGTATCAATGCTGAGGAGTTAAAGCTAATCATAGTGAGTAGTGTGCATGTCCCTGGCACGCCAGCAAAGTGTGATGATCCATTTCATGGTGTTAACTTTCTGATCTGGCGTCTGCACATGTACTACTGCAGTCGTGTGTACCGTTGTACCGTTGTACCGTTGTACTGTAAACCTCCCCACGTTTGTGGTGCAACTGCAAGATACAGTGTGCGTACAGCACAGCAGTTGTAGATATGTGCGCATGCACTGTCCATGCCTTGAGGTTGGCATGGTAGCATGCTATGTTGGTGTAGTGCCACTGTGCCAGCACACCGCTCCTGGGGTCGGATTTCACTAGTCGCCACTGTAGTTGCACAACACGCCTGATTAGTAGTGACTACCACAAAGTAAAGTACCATTGATTTCACCCCCACCCCTTTCATGCCGTGTCCTGATCAAGACGGTTCAGTGCAGCATGATGTACGACACAAAAAAAGAGGTGAAAGGTCGGATTAGCCATGGATGTGTGCGCAATTGCATCTATCGCATTTCACCGGGTTTAAGTCGACCCCGGTAACCGGTTCAATATCAACATGATCAATAGCGGTTTAACCCCGGCTGTTAGTCAACTACTCCTTTCCACCCTTTTTAATTCGGTTTCAAGGTCATAAGAGGTCGACTTATAAGTTACAACCGGACAAATACGGTACCAGCACATGCATCACACTTGACCTGCGTATTGGGGTGCATACTACACTGATGCTACTTCAAAGATATAGAACTGACATGGGACCGGTATTAGAGAGGACATGTAGAAACCACCATACTCACACTTACAGGTGTCGCAGTATCCTCTGCTGCCTTTGGAGGTTCTTCCTCAACAGTCATCTGAAATACATAATCACCAAAAATAGTATAGCACAAGGGGGCCATTGGAGTCCAAGATTTGGCAGTTGAAGTAAAAATCTAAATTTCGTTGTACAACCATCTGGGATCAGCATTGCTTCACAGCAACGGCGAAGATAAGTTAGATACCCATGCATTCCACACACAGGCTACTTTCAATTACCACAAAAGTATCACTGGTCTGCCCCCCCCCCCCCCACACACACACACACACTGCTTCGTTTCCCAGCTAGCTTTGAACAGCAGGGGAGTGGGGGGGGGGGGGGGGTTGATCAAGCACCAGGAAGGACGTACTAGACCAATATACCTTCTTACAAACACGTGCCTGGCATACCGCATTTTGCATATTATGCAGGCCCGCCGGAACCGGTCCGGTTGGTCAGGTTATTACCGGACCAACTTTTTGGCCACCAACACATGTTTCCTAATGTGGAGGGCATACACGTATGTACCCGCCATATCATCACTAAGGCAATGTATGAAAGGCCATGACACTACCGGACCAATCAAAAACTGCTTCCGGCGGTCCTGTTACGAGTATTTTTTATATACAGTCAATGTACTGTTGCATACTCCAACTGTGGCCCGCGATACTATTAGTGACTGTGCTCTTATTGTTTCAAACAACACTTGCCCGCGTCACTATTGGTCCTACTGGATACCGTGGTATAATAGGGAGACCCAGGGCCGGCGGAACCGCTGCGGTTGGTCCGGCCATGGCCGGACCAACTTTTCGGCCACCGACGATATTTTTAGGACGCAGTAACGTCATGTTGTGAACTTGTGATCATCGATTGTACATGTACGTGTACTTGCGATCTCGCTCTGATCTTGCCGTGCACGCGTGCGCGCTTGAGGGCTAGCTGTGGCCTGTGGGCCGGTGCGCGAGTCGCGCGACCTGAAAGCACGTGCCATGATGAATTCTACATTGTAATTTGTAGTACTTGAGGGTTTTCGTCGAGTGCTTCAGATTCTTGTACTGAACGAAGTAGTTTTTCAAATTTGTCTCACTGTTTGGTCAGCTTAGCCTCAGTGCATGCTTAACAGCTATGGCTTCTTCCAGCGAAGTATGTGTGCCAGAAGTGCCAGTCCACCCAACGACTTCCTTTGCGTTTCCTCGGCGGGAATTTGGGAAAAAGACAGTGGTGAAGCGCTCTTGTCGGGCGTCATATTTCTCTGTGGGCATGGCCGGACCAATCAACAATTGCTTCCGCCGGGCCTGAGACCGGGGCTTTCATTAGAGAAAATCCGGTAGAGTGATGTCACTTCAGAGATACATGTACATGATTGTACTAGTAAGACAAAATTGACAAAATTGACAGGGGAACAATATCAGAGAGAGGGGGTGGATCAGCAGTACTTTACGGCCATTGCCAACTTCACATGATGTAGCACTTACAGGCTCATCGGTAGCTTCTTCCGCTTGCCTTTCTGGCTGCTCTTGGCCTTCTGCAACAGCCACCTACACAAAAGTACATGATTACAGTTATAAAACCTATTACAGTAAAACCTGTAACTAACGACCACCGTGACTAGCGACCGGCCTGGTACTACCGACCACTTCGTCAGGCACGGACGGTCTCACATTCAAAATGCACTGTGACTAGCGACTACCTGCTGAACGTGACCAGCGACCGCCTTTTCTTGTCCCAATGTCGAATTTTGACCCGTAACTAGCGACCGCGATGTAGGAAATCAAACATTGCTCGAAGCTCCTTCTCGAAATGTTGATGATTTTCCATGGTCCTGAAAGGACTGTTTCGATACTACAGCTGGACAAATGAACGCAGTCTCATTTTGACTGTGGAATCAGTGTGGACTGCACTACACCTGTCATAATTTTAAGTGCTGTCAAGAACAAACATGATAGGAAACGTCTTGGAGAGCGCTCCAAAGCGCTCTTTGATCGATGTTACTACTCGAAGGAGAAACTAAGACTGAGCAGCTCTCTGTCGAAGTGCAATCACACAGCTCAGTCACCAGGTCACACTGAGTCCACAGAAGTCAGAGAAGTATCCGGCAAAGAAGCACTGTCCTGCATCTCAACATTGCAACAGTTTACGTTGCAGCGTGGCTTGTCTACCATGGCAATGGATGTAGAGAAACTTGGTGCCTTCATGAACAAACTTGAAGCCCAGCGCAAAGAGAAGCTTCAACATGGAACTATTGACTCCTGGCTTCAGAAGTAGGAGCTGAATTTAATGTCTGCAATAAAACTTGATTTTCTCTCTCTCCAAGTGTTGTATGATCAGAAAGAAGAATGTCAGTGCGCAAGTGGTGGGGGATTGTATTGTCTGCATTTTGACATACATATCATATAATGGGATCCATATATGGTCACGCGGTACAAACCTCTAACTAAAGACCACCTGCCACTAAAGACCACTTTTCCGGGCACCAAGGGGTGGTCGTTAGTTACAGGTTTTACTGTATAAAGAGTTGAAACAATCTGACCGAGAATGTGTTACCCTGCTCATCAGAAACTGGCTGTAGGAATATTGCAGTAGACATACGATTTGTACGCACCTCTACAATTGTGCATGTAGAAAACATGTATAATAAGGAGTATGCCAGTTGAAGACCGGTTTGTGCCCGGCATTCTTCTGCGAATTGGCTTCCCTCAGTACCGACTTTTTCGTCGCCGAAGTCCATCCGGAATAAGTCCGATTTCCGGGACACAATGGCCATTCGGTATGGTATGATTTTGGACAGACTACCCAGCGTGTGTGTCTGCGGACAGGCTATCGACATCAACCACACCCTGACATCCCCGGCAGGCAGGTATCCAATAGCTCGCCACAACGAGATCCGAAACATTTTTTCCAATGTCATCAGAGAGGTCATTTCTGATGTTGAAATCGAGCAGCTACTGTTGCCGTACGAGGGTGAGGCACTGCCCTATCGTACTGCTAACTGGTCCATGGAAGCTCGCCTGGACATCCGGGTGCGGGGCTTCTGAACGCGGCAGCATGATGCCTTTCTGATGTTCAGGGTAACACACCCGAAGGCAACCCTGCTATGCGCACGTACGTTCTGCGCCAAGTGAAGACCCATCTCTATCATGCTACTGTTTTTGTGTTCAATTGATTATCGAACTTATTCTTTTTTTTTTAAGTTTATTTCTGATTTCTGTCTGCCACTGTGCATATCGTGATAATTATTTATTATAATTTATACTACGATGACTTATATCCATTTGCTCATACAAGCGGCTTTTCATCATAATAACATGTACATGTACATGTATTATTTAGGGGAATGGAATGGCAACGCTACTAGCATGCGTGGCGGATAGCCATATAAGCACATGAACTTGATTTCCAGAATGTGTCCCAAATGAAAGATTTACACAATTTGCATATTCAATTTCGAAAAGAAAAATTTGTTTATCAGAAGCAAGGCGGAGCACACTTACTGGCTGAGCACTTCCATCTTTAGGCAGCCCTTCGCGTTCTTTGATGATAGCCTGAAGTGATCATTACAGTTGAATTCGAAGAAGAAAATCAAATCCCTAACTGAGAATATTTTTCAAGGACGTTGAGGTGCTTGATGCAACCTACATCATAGAGGCGATCACTGAGAACAGCTTTGACTCCTTTCTGTGGCAGACGCCGAGCTGATAATTCGACTTTCAGGTCATTGACTTTGAGGCTTGAGAGCGGTCGCCCATCGTCCAAGACGAGCGAGTCTGCCATGGCTCCCAAAATAGTTTCTGATAATTTCAGCTCTCTCTTTTCGCGTTTCGACCATGTCAACAAACGAACGCATATTGCGGTTTATGATTTCGCCTTGATCTTGACACGTGCCCGGTGCGCGGTGTACACGATCGATCATGCTTGCGATTTTTCCGGTTTGGCTAGCTGACCTAAAATCTGAATCCGGAATGAGTAAAACAAAACTCATCTGATATTGGGGCGCGTATGACGTGTACGTGTGATGATTATGAGTCACTGATATGACGTCGACTGATGCATGATGATGATGCATCGATGAAGCCAGCACAAAAATACAAAACAGAAACAAAAATTATTGACGTTTTGAAAATTTGATTCGTCCAGCCACGTCGACACTCATCTCGAGTCAAGTGCTGGACTTCTCAACAAACAAACTGAAGGGAATCTCAACAAGATTGCCTTGCCACCAGGCCCGGGGTATTTCACTACTACCTGCTTACCACTATGTTTCTCCGCAGCCCCAGACTCTAGTGGAATCGATTCGTGCGGCGGGTTGGTGTGTGATGCATTTGGCCTGCAGAGTTCCATTGATGTAGCATCAAAGATCGTGTGCTGAAGTGTGCCAGCCTTATTTTGCTGGAAGTGGAACCACATAGAACGGTCTTGCCGCAGTGCACCTTCGCCCTTACACAGTTGATAGTATTCCACGGCGATGGATGATACAGACGTGGAAGGAGGATCTCCTAAGCGACACTTATCTCTCAGAAATGGCATTGGCTTGGTGGTGGGTGGCATTATTGGCTCTGGAATCTTCCTGACACCAAATGGCGTTTTGGAGCAATCTGGTTCGGTGGGTGCAGCTTTGGCCATCTGGATATTGGCTGGGCTGTTGTCAATGGGTGGTGCGCTGTGTTACTGTGAGTTGGGTACCTGCATACCAGAAACAGGAGGGGAGCATGCGTACTTCCGGAGGGCCTTTGGGCCCCTCTCGGCTTTCACCTTTACCTGGTCGTTGCTGCTGGTCGTGTGTCCGGTGTCGAACGCGCTGATTTCCCTGACGTTTGCACGCTATGCTATCAAGCCATTCTATGGCCGACATGCCGAGGTACCGGGAGGAGCTGAGGAGCGATTGGCGGTTCTGGCAATTGGTAAATTCTATGTATGTTTATAGCTTTCTCGGAAACTAAAGGGCGATCAGACTGGAGAGCAGAACTAGCTTCTGGCTCCTCGCCAGCAACATTTCAAATGAAATCCATGAGAAATTTCATTGCTTTCTCGTCAGGTGGATACAGGCAGAAATGAAGCTAGCCAGTACAATAACTGATAATACATGTGCAATGTAAAGGTGATAAAAACAGCAGTAACAGCAATATAAAAGTAAGAGCGATTGCGAGAATAAAGTCGATAAACACACGAAATACATAGAAGGTGTTGGTTCTCAAGCACATAGACAAATTGCAAGTTCTTTTGTCATGCGCAAGTGGTGTAAGTGTGAAGAGGCCAGCGTAGGTGTGATGTGATTACATGAAACTAACACACAAAGCGCAGAAGCCACATGGTTTCGACTAGGCCTTTCGTTCCATCACTTTTCAAGTTGAATTCAATGTTGATCGGGGTGGTAGCAAGCAAGTCCTTATATCCGGCACTTTGGCAGTCAGAGCGGTGACAAAAGTAGCACCTACGAAAGTGCTGGTGGTGCTGTGATTGTACGGTGACAGCAATAGATGACAAAAGAGACAAATAGATGCTTTTGCTCCTACGGCTGGTTTTATCACGTTTGCAGTGTGTATCGGTTACTGCACTGGAAATTTCATTCCTACTTTTATCCACCTGACGAGAAGGCAATTCAAGTGTACATGAACTCGTGGAATTATTTGAACTAATGCTTATGAGGACCCTGAGCCTAGTTCTGTTCTTCATTCCTATGTATTTTGGTTTGTTATGACTCACTTTATCGAATAAGCAAGAATTTTGCCCTGCTTTCTGACCGTACGCCCAGACTCTCAAAAAAGAGGAAGAAAATGAAGAGAGTGTGCTTGTTTTGTGCTACATGTACCTGCATCAAGCAAAGGTAGCACACCCAGCTGGAGAGTGGGACATTGATGTAGCAACAGTGCTAGTTGCACAGTGCTAGCACACTCTGTCTGCATATGCTCAATTGTCTTGAGAGGAGGGGGTTAAATGATCTAGTATTGAGCAATACACGTGGCTGCAAGGAGGAGAATGCCTTGAACATTAGTCATAACTGCCGCATGTCAGCAGAAAGCAGTCCGACTGTGACGGTCTCTCTCTCTCTCCTCTCTCTCTCTCTCTCTTCTCCTCTCCTCTCTTGTCATTTTGCAGCTGCTCTGACCATAATAAACTGCATCAGTGCAAAGTGGGCAACTCGAATTGCGGACTCGTTTACCGCCCTCAAGCTTGTCGCCATTGGCTTCCTGGTTTTACTCGGTGCTGCGTGGGTTAGCAAAGGTAAGATTGGGCACATTCGAACTAAGGAATTTGTGTACACCCTTTTGCTCCTTGTCATACACCCATTCTCTACGGTGTGCTCTTTAACCTCTACTGTCTTCTGGAACGTGCATCGCACGAAACTTCGTGTTCCGGAAGTGGTACTCACCCATACCATAGGATTAGAATTGTGCTGAGAAGAATTCACATGGGACGATAGATCCGGTGTCTGGACGGATTTCCACCTTGGGTAGGAGATTATTGCCGCATGTTAGATTGATGCACTGGACACGCGTGTTTCTTGTAGTCGATTAGTGCATTGGGCTCGGCAAATTTACACGCAAATCGTACAGGATAGGCTGTTAGGGGCCATCCGTAAATATATATTTAGAAACGAAAACTAGTCGTTTAGGGGGGAGGGGGTTTAGCGCCTGTTCGTTTCTCGAAAAATATCGATGCACAGTTTGTATGTGTGGGCACGTCCAGAAAAGAAAAGAAAAAATATCGATGCTATGCATCGTTTGTATGTGTTCGTTTCTGAGGGAGGGGGGTTGAAGAGAAATGACTAGTTTTCGTTTCTAAATAAATATCGGTATTTACGGATGGCCCCTTACTGAAGAAACGCCATTCTAGATGGTTTAGGATACTGAGGATTTTGTGCATTATTAAAATTGGCGCCTTGTGCTTGAAGTATTACCTGTACAGGCAGGCGTGTTTGTTGAGCTGAACATGGATATGTCTGCCATTACTTTATCATGTTTTCTCATTCTTGTTTGTCCAGGCAATGTAAGCAATTTCAATGAGCCCTTTGCCAACACCACGCTGGGTGCATCGTCTTTCAACCTTGCATTCTTTCAGGCCATCTACCCGTTCACTGGTTGGTAAGTTATCATTATTTATGTTGATTTATACGGCAATATCCTGTCCGGCAATGGCTACCACTGGCCTGCTGCTACACATGACGTTGTGTAACGTGTTAGGCACGAAGGGTGTCCATTGTTATTCATACTACAGTAGCTGCCGGTTGTGCATGGTGCCCAGGAGGTTGTCTCTCTCAGCAAAAATAAGCGCTGCCTTTTACGCTATTTGTATGAGTATAATGTGCTGTGGAGGTCATTGTACACTTCCCTTCTCGGCTACGTTAGACCAGTGAAGGTACATTTGATGCCACATGTTCTTCTTGTGTGAACTGTACAGTTTGTATCTTCTACTTGGATTTAGAGCATGAAATGGTGCATTCAAAGTGCACGGGACTGTACTCCAGAAAACACAATGCCAGTACTGTATAGTCCCTGCTCATCTGTACTGCTCTGTCTCTTCCCGTTGTGGATCGGTACTAATCTGTCTCTCTCTCTCTCTCTCTCTCTCTCTCTCTCTCTCTCTCTCTCTCTCTCTCTCTCCTTTGCTTTCTTGTTAGGAACTATCTGAATTACGTTGCTGGCGAGATGACGGATCCAGCCCGTGACCTCCCACTTGCCGTCGTGTACGGCTTGTGTCTGGTGATTCTGTGTTATCTACTCTGCAACCTGTCCTATTTTGCTATCCTGTCGAAGAAAGCAATTCTTGAAACCAAAGCGATTGCAGTTGTAAGTAGGACGGCATGTGAACATATTGCTGGCATGTGGAGAGAGAAAAAGAGCTTCATGATTACCATAGGAGGTAGCGTCTCATGGCCATCATCAGAAGACCATCACTATCCAGAGAATTCACGTTCTATTTGGCAATCCTGCTGTAGGTTTTCTCCACACTTTGCACTATATGTACTTTCCGTACTAAGTTATAACGACACTAAGAACATATGCATGTGATGTCTGGTGCATCCAGGGCTAACCGGAGCTCATCCACAGCCGCGCTAGTGCATTCCGGCGCTGATTCGGCTAATGTGAACCAACCCTTAGAACCGAGGCGATGGCACACAGCAGACTGGACCTGCAGTTTTTCTGCTGTGGTGGGAATGTGTGGGATGTGGTATAGTGCAGCCCGTTGCCACATGTACTTATACGTTGGGACTGGTATGGTGACTGCTCCATGTGCTGGTGTTCATCCCATTGCAGGAATCCATGGTGAAGGTCATCGGTGACGCAGGCCTTATTCTGGGACCGCTTTTTGTCGCCACGTCTTGCTGGGGAGCAGCCAACTCCTCAATCTACACTGCAGGGCGGTAAGCTAAATCCTTGCGTAATGCTGCTACATGTATGTAACTGCCCACACTTGCGGTGGTGTAACAGTGATTATTGCGAAGGCTTGGTTGCATTCGCAATGGCACTTGACTGATAAGGAAAGTGCAGTGTATCTTTAAATGGGCAATCCACCCAAAGTAAAGTAGGGGTCTATCAATGGCCGACACCACCCTGCGCCCAGAGTCCAAAAGGAGTTTGCTCTCTATCGATGCATTTTCAGGACATGCAACCGTGTTGCAGTGCGCTGTTGTTGACATCACTTAGCCAGTGCATGTGTTCACTGTTCAGGCTATGTGCAATATCAACAAGGAACCCAGTCTCTGGCATCCAATACATTTCCTCCCTAAATTTAATGGATGTGTATCTTTCAGCTACTGGATTATCCCCCTGCTCACAATAGAGAGGTTTTGCAGAGCGAAAGTTCGCGTGGATTTGAGCTTGATGTCACGCTTCGTACCTTTGAGTGCGGAAATTGAACGAAACGGGAAGCAAACCCTCGCAGGAAGTTTTGTGGATCTTGCGCTTCCTTGGAGCATAATCATGCAGAACACAAACTTCATGCGAACATTTGCCAGCCGAGCTGCAAAAGTCCTTTCGCGTTGCGAAGCCTCTGTTGTGATTCGGAGAGCGTTTCCTTGTTTCTCATGGGCCATACACAGAGGCAATGGTTCTGTGCTAGACTGCCCTAGTAACATCATTTTAGCGGGGGTACTTACGGTATGCAAGAAATGCAGGTTCTGCTCAATAGGGACCAAAGTTCTTTTGGATTCTGGCTCTGTTGGTGTTGGTCAGTTATTATCCAGTTGCACCCACTGAAATTCGACCAAAAGTGCAAAGCTGGCGCCCTCAACTGGGACAGCTCTTGACGCCCTGGAAGTGGCACGAATGCAGCTGGACGTACACAATGCACACATACAATGAAGTAATTGGAACTGGTCCAGGGCGCCAGCTTTGCACTTTGGGTTGGATTTCAGTGAGCGCAACTGTAGTATGTTAACACTTACAGTGGCAAGAGTGAGGTTGCATACAGCATGGGCTTCGTCCTAATTTGATGTTCTTGAATCGATGCTCTCTTTCTTATTGGCGCGCAGTGTTGGACATGCAGCAGCTCTGGAGGGCCATATGCCCAAGATATTCGCACTGGTTCATCGTCAGTTTGGCACTCCCTTCATCTCTCTACTGTTTCAGGTGAGGTGACGTTGGTGCACATCGCATCTAGTATCTGACATTGAAGCTCTTTTTATCCTAGAGCCGTGTGATGCGTGCCCAACTGCTTGCACTGACTCATCTCTACCTGCTGCTCTGTCCCTGTCCCTGTACCTGAGTACTGTAGTACATTCATTTAATACAGTCTGTACTCGAAGTCATTCATTAGAAGCTATCCGGCATTATCGATATTTTTCACGAAACAAAAAGTTTAGTTAGGTCCCTCCCCCATCCACCCACCCCCTGAATGAAAAATAGATTGACTTGACAGCAAGAATGCCTTGATGTCTCTCGTATCAATATTTTTAAAAACGAAACTCTCCTTGACCCACCTACCCATAAACGAAACTTTTTCTCTTCGTATAAAATATCGATAATTTTGGACGGCCCCTTACGCGGTGTTGTCATGCACTGGGTTGATAGAACATAATTTGTTGTTGTTGTGGCACTGCAAAGTGGTGATCTATATACTTTCAGCACACCATGTGTGGTACTGGTGCTGGTCACCGTGTCCGTTCATGCCGTACACTCTGGCCAGCCTCGTGATGCGTTTGTGTGGGGAACGGGCAGCGAGTACAAGTTTGTAGTTTCTTTATCGTCATCTGGTCTTTGCTCTGGAAGGACTTCGAAACCAGAAACCCCACGATTTTAGCTCGTACAGTCTTCGCCAATGGCTGATCGCAGAAGTTGAGCTAGTTGAGCTTGGCTCAGCCTTTGCATTGCGACGTACACAAAATGTATTTTGCAGCGAAAGTTGCACGTCAAGTACAATAGTTGCTTGTGGACGTGTTCAAGTTTTACCCAGCTACCGGTACTTGAATACCGGGGGGGGGGGGGGCAGGAGTTGTATACCCCGCAATGTTGCACTCTGAGAAAAATCAGAAATCATGCAACATTTCTTCCCTGGCTTCATGTGTGAATCCCATTTTGCCAGTTTGCAGCGCTTTTGTGCGTCGCTCATTGCATCAGGAAAATCCTTCTTTGGATCCAGCTATTGTACATGTACAATATTTTAGCCACTGTGTTGGGCACCGATCACATAATCATTGTGCCTGGTCCAATGCAGATATTGTGACAGAACTATGCCATGTGTGCGTCTGTCTGTCTGTGTGTATTTCACGTGCCCGGTGATAGGGTGCAATGGGCATTAGCTTCATCTTGCTAGTGGACATGACTTCACTGGTGCTGGTGTTTGGCTTTCTGACCTGGACCTTCTTCGGCATGGCATTCTTGGCTGTGCTCCGACTGCGCCAAACCGAGCCTGATCTTGAACGACCATACAAGGTGAGAGTTACAGACTGCTGGGACAATCATGCAGCACAGCTCAGCTTGTTCTCTGCATCTTTTGTTCAGTCATACTACCGTGGTTGATGCAACAGACCATCTTCTTTGATGTACAGTGCTTAGGTGGCACCATCCATCCAGGTGGGTAAGCTTTGACCTGGCTGGTTTTAAATGTAGTACAGTCGACCTACCCTTATAACGATATTTGCGCCAGACCAAGAAATATTGTTATAAGGGTAATTTGTTATAGGGGTAACTGATTCATTTCATACACATACGTCATAAATTCATAATGCATGGATTTTGTTCATTTTTACGCTCTTCATAGCATAAAAAACGGACGGACATGCACATTATGTACACAGCAAGGTGCCCACTGGTGCCCCCATTGCATTTCGTCATGTCCCAGCGACTTATCCGAGTGAAGCTTGCCCTGCCTGGATAGTGCGCTCTACATATTCCCTGCTAGATATTGTTATAAAATCGAAAATGTCGATTTGTCAGCCCATTTTATATCGTTATAGGGGTAATATCGTTATAGCGATATTGTTATAGAGGTAAGGCATTGTATACGCAAGTCAATGGAGTGATTTGGTTTGGCAGAAAAATATCGTTATAAGGGTAATATCGTTCTAGAGGTTGTCGGTATAACTTATAAGGGTAGGTCGACTGTACCAATTTTGAGGGTTAAGACCAGACTCAATCTACTGTGCCGTTGTTGATCTTAACGGTCCACTGCTAGTATAAAGTTCACGGTTTGTCAGCCTCACTGAAACCCTTACAGAAGCCTTGGCTCTGGACTGGTTCACATCACTGAGTAATTCACGCCACACACAGACCTGCATGTATGCATATGAGAGTGCTATTTCTGTGACATCTTGTCCTTCGCAGGTCAACAAATTTCTGGCCGTGTTCATGGTGGCTGCATCAGCACTGCTTGTACTTAGCTCATTGAGCCAATTCCCACGTGAGTGCGTCGGTGCCATTGGCTTCTTACTTGTTGGTGCCCTGACGTACTATTTGCTTGTCAAGAGGCAGTTTGCAGAGGCTATTACTGGACAGTTCTCAGGTAAGAGTAATTCTTTTTAAATGGTCCCATGTGTACAAGTGTGTGTATCATGTGTATGGTGGATGGGGAGGGGGGAGATAGGTGGGGATGTCTTTCTTCTACTATGTGCAGTCTAAGTTGTATCATGCTCATCCAGTGCAAAGTTTCTCCACTGTAATCTGGTGTAAAGGTGTTAGACCACTTTCATTTTCTTCCTGGTTTTGACGATGCGCTAGCAACTCCTCTGAGTAGCTCTTACCCTCGGTGCACTGCAGTGCACATGGTTGTAGTGAAACACGTTCTTCTCTTAAGTTTGTGTTGTGACTAGCGGTCCACAAACTTAGCCAGATCCGATACGGTCTGATGGTACCGCAACTAGCCGCAGACTAAGACCGTTAGTCCGAACTCATGCCAAATTGTCCTTCCACTTGTCTACTTCAGTCTAGTTATTGCTGCCACCCGAGTTTGAATCTTCACTTCTGTGTGGGATAAGAGTGGAGTTGCATCTGCGCCGTGATCCTTGGGGGTGGTGGCTTTCCTACGGATGTGGAAATGTTGGTCTTACTGACTCTAGCGCAAACTGTGATTTTGTTTTGAACAGTTTCGACTACTGTAGTTTGAAGAAGGTGAATCTGTTTTGTACTAAACCCAGAGAGCCAGAGAGCGCATGTGGTGGAGGTGGATTTGCTTTGTTGAAGTTGGTTTTCCCTGGATATTGAAAACCTAATTGAAAAATGAGGATGCAAGTTGTTGCTCTGTTGTTTATGTTCCCATTCCTTACTTCCTGTGTGTAGATCGGTGTGTCCTATTGGCCCAGCGTCTGCTTCCGCTTGAGCTGAGCACCACTTCTGCAAAGTAGCGCAAGTTTGGAGCCAGAGTAATGCTCGCACTTCATCCATTACTTTGAAACGAAGCTTGCAAGACGGTGCGTACTCGTATGTAGCTCGTTTTTAGTTTTTGTTTCATCGGATAGCCTCCTGTTTCCACTTTGACTTTGTTCTATCTCTTTGGAGATAGCCTTTTGTAAGCAGCGACATTGTCTCCCACCACGTGATTCCGGTTATAAAGTCAAAACCCTACCAACACTGCACTGTTGACCATAATTTATCAGCCCAGTCCTCTACTAGATAGATTGTGATAAAGATCCACAATTCAGTACTTAGTATTAATTTTATATCTTATATTTTACTACTGATCTTTCTTGAGAGTGTCGAGATAGAACGTTTGTTGCATATTGTATGTGCACATGCTCGCAGCTCAGTGCTTTGTATGCCTTTCATGTACATACATGTATGTGCATGGACGGGTGTCTATACATATGTGCACAAATATTATGTGAAAAACTACCGTTTTAACCCTAACCTATTTTCGATTTGTTCATTTTTACTGGCTGGCCAGGCATATGTATCTCCATGACTTCTAAACAAACCTTGAGAATTCAACAATTGCTCGCTCTGTGTGTGTGTGTGGGGGGGGGGGGGGGGGTCTGGATTGTGACATGGCTTGGAAGTTCAGTGGAAGTCTTTAGGGTTCCACCCACCCTAATCCAGCCTCAATTTTAACTGTTGGAAGACTATTCCTGGCATGTGGTACTGGTAGTGTTGATCTACAATCAGGTACTAGTACTAGTAGATCATTTCCCAACGCCTACGCGTATTGCTGGTCAAACAGGTGGGATGTGTTCCGTCGTTAGTGTATGCTAGCAATTGTCATCAGGCCGCAATGAGAGTTTATCCCATAAAAACCTCACATCAGTGACAAGCCGAGACAAGGAAGAAATGGAGAGAATTGAAGAGAAGTTCGAAGGCAAACAGGAAGCAGAGAAGGCAAAAGCAATGTCCATGAAAATTAACGTGTCACACACACTGATGAGTTTATCCTTCATGAATGAACTGCCTTTCTTCGGAGTTGGGCAAAATTACTCTGTAGTGGGTAGTGACTGTGTGAAAATGACGATGTCATTCAATACTGAGTGTGTGACAACCAATGAACCAGTACAGGGAGTAGGACTCAACAAGCAAGAAGAGGACAGACAAAACTCTCAACTACATGTACTGTAAAAGCAGAAATTTTCGGTGGTGTAATATTTTCGGTATTCGCCAAAATCGGCGGTTCGGTAGCGGGAAATTTTCGGTAAAACCCGTTCTCCAGGTAGGTGTACTAGTACTACATGTATACAGTATCGGTTGTACCGAAAATTTCGGTGCGTTTTATTTTCGGTAAAAATTGTCGGCACCGAAGTAAAATAGTTACCGAAAATAGAACACCACCGAAAATTTCTGCTTTTACAGTACCGGTACTTGCTTTTCACAGCGAGGGAGTGGTCATGTAGATCTACTCCGGGCCAGTCTCTTGTACCTGTCAGTCAGTGAGTTACCAAGTCCAAGGGCAAAGGAGTTGTAGTTCTACGACTTCCGGGTCTTGTTCGTCAAGAAAAAGAAGTCTGTATTTTTAATGTAGTAGGGACTTTCCCGACGCCTCGTTTTTCCAGCATGCTTCGCCTGTTTTTGAAAAGTCCAGCTTTTCTGTGCATCATGCATGGTAGATCTACATGTCGAAGTATCACGAACTACTTGTCATTGGGAGAAAGCGTACAGGTTCCATGTCCACTGATATCAAGAGCACTGTTTTCGGAAGAGAAATAGCAGTAAACCTCCATTGACTGAGGTATATTCTCGAGTAGAGTCTTATCTGCTGCGTCTAGCTAAATCTCCATGCTTGGAACGATCTGTTTCAACTTTCCACTGTTTATGTACGATTGAGTAGCACACGTACAGCTCACCTGTGTGTAGCTGTGTTAATGTTGGGCACTGCACTGCAGTCTGCTGGAAGAGAGGACTGGATCTTAGTGCATGCTGGTGACTGTGGCGGTGATACGAACCTGACAATGGCAGCTGTGGATGGCGTCGCCGCAAGCTCTCGACGGTACGATTGTAAAAATATTTGAAAAGTGGCATGCGAAGCAAAGAGCAAAAATAATAATAATTAGTCTACAATAACATAGTTATACTAAAACGTTTATATATACGTTTGCACTCAGAACTGAAAACTGTGACACGCATGAAATGGACAATTTCCAAGTAATAATTGGCTGCACGGATATCGCATGCTGTGTGGGAAAGTTGGGTAGACAATGATAAACAGCACTTGAACCCCAGCAGGTGTGACCACTAACTATAATTTTTGTGTATTGTTGACACAATCTGCTGCAAGCAGTAGAAACAGCAATACTGTAAATTCGAAGTGCATGGGTGACACTTCTATCACGAACCTGGCTAGACTGGACACCTCGTATCACAAGGCACAGGCCACCATGACCCTGACACTACCATTCATGATTGCAGTATTGCGCCCACTGGGAAATCACCCAGTGTTCTTATCACAAGGCCTTGGACACATGGTTTTAACACTGACACTCCTCCCATTGCAATATTGCGCCCACTGGGAAATCATCCAGTGGTCTGATGACTACAGCTGGTCTGGCACATGCACAACTACAGTCGTTGCCTAAAGAAATCCGGCCAATGCCTATACAATGGATGCAGTGGCATGGTACGCGTCCACTGGCGGTGCTTCATGGTGGCATGCATGCTTTTACTGTACCAGCACAGCACTGAATAGTCTGCAGTCGAGCACTGCACTGAGTGTATGCAGCCAGGCCCGGCAGCAGGGCATGTGCCATGCCATGCACTACATGTACCACCGATAGTGGGTAGTATTACTATTAGTGGTTGTGCATGGAGCCTATGTACAGCTAGCATAGCATTGACCGGAGTTTTTTTGGCGATGACTGTAGCATGCAGATGGCAGGAGGAACATGTACGCTGCGGGTTGTGGTATCCATTAGTTTTATTTAGTTTATTTATTCATTTACTCAATGTCCGGAGAGCTATCTGTTTTGACCTTATTTGGTCTCATCAGTGGAGCTCAGAGCTACTGGCCGAACCGATCGCAATGACGTCTTATGAACAACAAATCATTTTTCAACCTGCTCAAAGCGTCAGAGTGCTCTAATACTCTATTTATTCATTTATATTGTCTACCCTTCATGGCAATACGGAATGGCGGTAGCGACTTCGGCAGTTTAGAAGGAAGTTGCACATAAAGGAATACGTGTATAGCCAATACATG